TTTCCCAGCAGCCCCGATGCGGAAAGAGGTCCACCCATACCCCTCACCTCGCACCCCTGAAACCAACTGAGTTCCAGGGAGCAGCAGGCAGGTTCCAGTGCTGCAGCGTGAGCCAGCTCGGCCCAGGCCTTAGAGTTTCCTTATTACTTGATTTTGGTTTAAATGTGGTTTGTTTTTCCCTCAAAGTAGATATAACTGGGGAAAACTAAAACAGGCACAGCTTCTGGAATAGTTACGATCAGGACATACAGTACATGAGCCAAGGCTGTTTACACCACCTGAGGTGTTGGTCATTCCTTATATGGAGAATTTTCTCTTCTCTTGCTCATCTGATCAGTTCGTGAACGAAGCTTAGCTTTCATGGCAGGTGAACTAGAAGAGCAAACCTTAAAATTTAGGGGCGTGTCATTGGTAACCTCCTATCTGTTTAGCACTGTAAGTCGCTTTCTGGAAACTCTTGTCCAATTCTGTGGGAAAGGTAGGGCCTAAAGCAGAGGGGGTTGCTAATTCAACAATGCTCCAGCCACAGCAGTAGTGTTAAACCCGAGAGTCAACGGAGAAAGACCAGTTCCACAATTTCTGAGCAAAAATTGGACACACGCTTGAATTAAATTTGGGCGAAGAGGATGGAATCAGGCCAGGACCACTCCAGGACTCCCATGAATGGGAGTATCCTATGTATCTCCCCCTCACCCATGATCAAGCACATCCTGTGGACGTGAGTCAAACAAATTTGTTTAGGGGAGCAAAAGCAGGTGGCTTGTCATCTTACCTAAATGACAGCCCCCAACATCTAAGGAAGTTTCTGCCCTTGGGCCAGGGGCTTACGGGTTGGAGGCAGTTTTGTGTTATGGCTCACTTAGACACAGTTATGAAAACTTCCGACACAGCTAGCTCTCACAGTAGCTCATAGAAACAATCCCTTGCTGATAAAGAGCCCACAGAAATAATTGTTCCACTAAGCATAAAATGAAGGTTGAATATTTGCCCACAAGGATAATAACTGACAGGTCACAGTACCGTGTTACTCCGGGTCTATAATAATTACTACTCAAGAGACCTTAAGATTAAAAAAAAAATGAAACTCCATGGGTATTCCCTAAAGTTTCATCTAAAAATCCTATAGAGATTGATTTCAAGGCTTTTCTAGGTGGCTCTCCTAAAGAAGAAAAAAAAAAAGCATGTATTTTATAGGCAAGTTCCATAGGGTCCACAAAAGACTTTGTACCCACCTGGGCTTGCAAAGCTTAAAAGTTTAAACTAGCTATCTTCAATCAGCTTTTATGAGATCTTTCTCAAGCACTGAATGTTGTCGCTGACCTCGTGTGCAAAGTAGCACACCGCCGATAGGGAGAGCTCTCTGTTCTATGTGAACTTTTTATCACAAGCTGTGTGAACTGTTTGGGTATGGTTAAAAGAATCTGTAACAAAATCTAGCATAAGATTCGTAACAGAAGACTTCGTTAAACTTATATCCATTTTAATTTGCTCCAGTACACTACGTATATGATTTGATTCTTGTTTAGAAAAGTAAGTCTACTACAGTCTACTACATTGTGCTACATTGTAAAAGTATCTTTTATTCACCTGATTCATCTTTTATTCATGTAACTGCTATCTTGAAGGTTTGATGCCAATGTTTGCTAATCTAGGTCCAGTCTTGGAAGCTTCTAGCCTCCATACAATCTTATCAAGACCTCGTGTGTTTTCAGCATCTGAGACTTACTGCTTGTGGCAGAAATTTGCTTCCCATTGTATTTGCAGTGGAGCTCTGTCATGGGATAGGGAAGAGGGAGGCAGAGCTAGGAGCTAGGAGAGAAGGAGTGAGGGGGGAAGAAGAGAGAGGAGGAGAAAGCAAGATGGCGGCAGACGTGTCTCTAGCAGGCTCTGGTAGTTATAGCAAAAGGTTAGATCATTGGGATAACGATTCTACTTGTGTGGGCACCTTGTGTATTGAGTATTTGCAAATATATAAATCCATTGGTTAGCTTTAAGCATCTAGAGTTTTGATTTACTTGGTTGTTGGGTGGTGTGGCGGCTGATTGTGGGGTAGATGATCCTGGTGTGGGGCTAGTGTGGCCCCACTGTAGTGCCTCCCGAGATGAAAACACCTGGCTGGGCCAAGGTAGCCCACCAGTAATGCTTAATTCTGACAACATGGTGCCAGAACCAGTGCCTGTGGTTGTCTTTGCGCTGCGGGTACTGCTGTTAGTGCAGGAACTTAGAGCTGGTAGCCAGGTGGCTTTTTCAAATACCTCCAGATACAGCTGCTGAATAAGCTTCCCTTTCTAGCTCTTTCTGAACTCTGGTGGACTGGTCAGCTCAGCTGTTCTGGCTCGAAACTCCTCTCCAAGCTGACTGATTCAATCTGACTTCTCTCAGCTTCTCCTGAATTGCTCTGTTTGGCTCAAACTAACTCTGGCAATATTTTCTATTCTTCCAGCTCCTCATTCTCTGGCTCATTCTGTCTTTACCTGTGTCTAGGTTGTTCTCTCTCTGCAACCTGTCTCTGCACAACTGTACTCTGTGTACTGCCCCTCGGGTAACTTCCCATTCCTCTCTCTCCTCTTGAGAGTTGGGCGTATCCTATTCTGTCAAATCTTCCTCTGATTCGTCACTTTGTCTGCCACTCAATTAGACATCACTTTGAAACATGGGCACTTCCTTCTACAAACTAACGTTACCTTCATTGTTTGGGATTTTGTACTAAGGGAATGTCTGCATTTCAGCCAGAGGGATTAAAGGTGTGAGCTAAAGCCAAGCCATATCACAACCAGAAACAGTTTTTTTTTCCCAAGTAAACAACACAGCCTCACAGTGTGATCAAATATACTGCAGCACTGTATAAAGTTTACATTTTTAAATGGCAGTCGCATGGCTTGCCTCTGTCTTGGCTGAGGCCTCATCAGAATGAAAAGGACCTGGTACCTGGCAGCCATCTTTGCTCAGGTTAAAGAGTACGTGCCATGTGGCGTCATCACTATCGTCATCAAAGTGATACTTGGTATAGGGCTTCTGGTTATTGATAAATCTTCTTTTAAGACTAAGGAGGCAACAACACATCTACTAAGATATTTTGAATTAGGGTTGATTTTTTTTGTTTCAGATTTTAAAATAACCTCTCTGTTGGTTCTTTGAATTTCACAGGATGCACCCCAATCCCACTCACCTCTCCATCCCTTCACACCTGCCCTCCACCCATGCAACCTCCACGCTAAAATGGAAAAAGAAAAAAATCTTGTTGTGGAAGCTGCAGTGTGTCACAGTGTGTCCCCCAGTAATGTCCATTGCCATGGGTCATTAGACAGCTCAGGCAAGATCGGGCTCCACCAAGGAGTCTCTGGTGTCAGCCAGGCCGTGAAGACTGTGCTTTTTGCTAAAGGCCGGCCTCTGACCTGAATGGAAAGGCCGTGGCTTCTTCTTCAAATGAAAATTTCTTGAAGCCGCCGATGACTTGTGGCCATAAGCATGGGAAAGCCGATGTTGCGATAATTTCCTCAGTCTTCTGTTCCTTGCTCTCTGAAGTGATTCCAACGGTGATTTTAGGTATGTGTGTGTGCATATATGTGTGTGCCTGTATGCATATACTTGTATGCTTGCTTTTTCTATTTTATAAGACAGAGCCTCATCACATAGCCCAGGCTAGCCTCAAACTTTTACCTTCTGTGTCAATCTCCCAGGACTTGGGATCACAGGTGTGGACCATCCTCCCATGATGAACATCTACTCCTGCTGGGCAGAGAGAGGTTGGCATGGAGACAGGCTCACCTTCATGAGGGTGTGTCCTGGGCACAAGTCAACACTTTATGTGATTGAAGTGAAGAATGGCAATTGATTGATAACTCAGGTGGTTACAGCTAGGGACAGAGGCACACCTCTGTGACCTCAGCACTTGGGAGGCCAATGGGGCAGATCCCCAAGTTCACATCCACCCAGTGCAAAGGAGTGAGATCCCATATTAAAGAAAGATGTGAAACCTTTGTCCTTTAAAATGGACAGGAGGAGGTGGGGGTAGAGGGCAGAGAGACTGTCTCACATGATGCCTTGGATGGTGGTCACATCGTGGATGTGCATCTGAGAACCCACAGAACCGTGAGACCCTAAGTCTGAGTGAAATGTTTCAACAAAACATTTGCTATGTTTGGGTCAATCAGTAGAGGCTGAGAAATTGTTATGGGACTGTTTGAACCTTGAAAAAAATGTCGTCTCTCTGGAAGGTCTGCACTTGGTGCTGAGTGAGAGCGTGCAGCTGCACTCATCTTGCTCCTAAGACAACTCGTGGCAAACCTGGGGTCCTTACTTTTAATCATGTCTACCCATGGCCAAAAGGGACTGAGATTTGTGGGAGCTGTCTGCTCTCGTTGGCAGTGAAAGCAAGATAACGTTGGTAGCTTGAAACTTTCCACACCCCAATTAACCTTGTATAATGTTTGTGTAAACTAACTCAAGTGAGCTAGCTGGGCGTCAGTCTTCCCCCGAGAGGCTGTACCCCTCTGATCCTTCAAAAAATGAAGACCTAGCATCTTAGTTAGCTTCTCTCTCTACTGCAGCATCGTAAGCAATAGGTATGGACCAGTCACCTATGACAAACCCACCAGAGCTGTAGTGAAACTAGTGCCAGGTATCTTCTGGATTTCTCTCGCATGCTGTTTTCATTTTATCGATGTGTGTGTGTGGTTTGGGAGTGGTAAGCGTCTAGGCAACTATAAGACCATTTTTTCTTTATTAACAATACAAGACTAAGAAGGTAAGAACAACAGAAACTACACTGGTAATGTTTCATGCCTCCTGGTCCACAGCCTGCTGTGATAACAGTCCAAAGAAATGCCAGCAGGTAAACAAACCCCAGATTGTCAGGTAGCCTAGCAGCCAGAGATGGAAGGTGCAGAGATCTGATATGCACAACCCCACCCCTCCTGGGAACGAAAACCAGCTATGAAAATGACGGACAGCTGGCTCCAGAGGCAAAGCTGCAGGCAGCAAACACTACTGGCCATAAAATGGTGAAGGATCTCAGCAGCACCCCAGCCTGTGAGCTGGACAAGTTTATAAATGATCACCTCCTTCCTGATACCAGCTTCCATGATGAGGTCAGAGAAGACATCGAAGTCATAAGTGCTTTCCTGAAGGAGAGATGCTTCCAAGGTGCCGCCCACCCTGTGCGGGTCTCCAGGGTTGTGTTGGTGAGTCCCATTAGCCTGAGCTGATCAGGATGGGGTGGGAGAGGACTCTCAGAAGCCAGACTGCAGTCCTTAGAGGAGAGTGAGTTACCTACCTGCTCTGTGCCCAGTGTTCCCATGTACACCCCAGCTATGGCACAGGGCAGAGAACAGAACAGAGACCCCACCTGCTGGATGACTGGACTGATGAAGTTCATTACCCGTGTTTCCATCTGTCAAATGGGGCTTTACAACAACAGTCCCTACTTAGTCACTGTGAAGGCTGCAGAAATGTTGTTTTGTAATGTCCACTCATTTATGTCAGGGGTGCGAGTGTGTTAGTGGTTGTCCACAGCATTTTATTTAGGGAGGATCTCTGCAGTATCACTTGTTACTTTTTTTCCCAAAATGTTTCTTTTTGTGAATTCACTTTCCTTAGTTTTAACATTTACTCTGTTACCTTTGAGTACTGTCACAGACTTTCTTCATGGGAGTATGGTGTATATGTGTCAGGTTCCTCTATCCATCTGTCATGTTCAGTGATGGACTCCTACTCTGTTCAGCATCTGCCCAGCATGGCTCTCTCTGTCCATCTTATCCTCATCCTTGTCTTTTAGGGTGGCTCCTACGACGAACACACTGCACTCAAGGGCAGGTCAGAGGCCAACCTGGTGGTGTTCTTTAGCAATCTCACCAGCTTTGAGGACCAGTTAAATCTACAGAGAGACTTCCTTGAGGAAATTCAGAAACACCTGTGCCAGCTGGAGCAAGAAAAACAATTTAAAATGAAGTTTGAGGTCCAGCGCTCAGAGCAGCCCAACTCCAGGTCTCTGAGCTTCAAGCTGAGCTACCCTCAGTTCCAGCAGGAGGTGGAATTTGATGTGCAGCCAACCTATGATGCCCTGTGTAAGTCAGCCAGCAGCAGAGCCTCAGCCTGCCCTTCCTCATGCCTCAATCCTCTCTTCTCTTATTATCTCTGTGTGTAGGGGGGAGGGGATAGTCACATGTGAAGATGTCTGTGCACATGTTTGCATGTGTGGATAATGGCCAGAGGCCAGCCTTGGATGTCTGTTACTTAGGAGCCTATTTTTATTAAGAGGTTGACCTGGAGTTTGCTGCCCCACCTTTGTGGCTCTTGCAGTAAGGAGCTGGGGTCAGGTGTGCTGTGTGCTCTGATGGAGCTGAACCCACAATCTGTGGCACCTGGAGCCTCCGCATGTCAATTAGGGACAGCACAGGGCTGGGGAGAGGGGTTGTGCATTCTCCTAGAAGTGTCTGTAGGCTATGCAGCTCTAGCTGGAAACAATTATACTCAGACATATTCAGAAATCCTCTTAGGATCCTCCACTCCCTGGTAGCTAGGTGAGTCCATTTGTTTCTTTCTTTCTTTGGAGACTGGTTGACATGAAGCTGACTAATTCACATATCTGGTCAGACAGTGAGCCTGAGGGACTCTCCTGTCTCTAACCCCCAGCACCCAGATTCCAGGTGTGGACCCTCTAGCTCTTGTAAGCCCAGTTTTTTTAATGTGAGTGCAGGGATTCTAATATGGAGTCCTTATTCTTATGGAAGAACCCCTATACTCACAGAGCTGTCTGCCCTGCCCCTCGGGCATCATACAGAACACGTGACCTGCTCTCCTCATGCCTGAATGTAGAAATTCTGTGACTCTAAAAGTGGAACAAGAGATATAGCTGAAAACTAACATCTGTTGCATCTTCTATCAAAGAATGAGAAACCTCAGACCTATGCAGAGGCTTGGGTGTCTGTGCATGGTGGAGCAGGGAGCGGGATGCAGAACTTCCCCTAGGGATTTTTGCCCACCTCTGGAAAACTGGAAACCCAGCGCGCGCGCGCGCACACACACACACACACACACACACACACACTGACCTCCCTCATGTACACACATGTTATATAATGGCACATTAATGTTTCTTTACATTAAGACTTCTCACACCAGGCCTGACACGATGTGGGTCCCCAAAAGTACAAATTGCCCAACTCTATCCAAAGACAATCAGAGACACCTTGATAGCACAGTGGGTTGGTTCTTGGGGAGCTTAGAGAATACTTGAGGCTCTACATCTGGGGAACACAGCACTTCAACTGCTACTTAGAGACAAGGCTACTATCTCTTGGCTTAGAGCCATGGAAACAGGCCAGAGTCTCAGGCAGCAGGGACTGAGAGGGCCAGCCTGAGAGTAGAACCAGGGCAGCCTGCTGTGAGAAGCTGCGAGAGGCTTAGAACCCTGTTCAGTGGAGGGGACTCAGAGGGGGTGACCCAGAAATGAGCTGGGAGAGGGCTCCCGAAGAAGCCTGTCTTGCTCAGCCTGAGGCAGCTTTCCAGTAAATAAGCAGTTCCCCACAGTAGGATCACCTTAGGAACACAGGTATATGTAACAGCCCAAAAGAGGACCCCAGCCACAACGCTACCAAGGGTGTCTTAGCAAATGAGACCTACTGTGTGCTGGGTCCTGAAGTAGAAAATAAGCTCTTGAGAACTCCCTGGGACACCGAGTGACTGGGTGTGTTCAACCCCCAGCTGTGAGTGATTTTGCTCTGTGCCAGCATCAAAGCCTGATGGTGTGGCCTGGTGCACACACTCAAGGAAGGCACAGCCTGCTGCGTATCAAGTCTACTCAAATGTGCACACACACCCACACATAGCCATACACACATCAATTCCATAGCCTGCCGTCCATCCACGGCACAAGTTCATATACACACCACCACCACCACCACCACCACCACCACCACCACCACATCCTGAAGCTCCCAGGTTGACAGTCAATACCATATGATATTGACTTGGTCAAAGAGAATCATTTTCTGCTGACACACAGTAGCTGGAGAGACAGCTCAGTGGTTAAGGGTGACTGCTGCACAAGCATGAGGACATGAGTTCAAATCCCCAACGCCCACCTAAGCTTAGGAAGTGCCACACATTGACCTGTATCCCTGGAACTATGGGGACAGAGACAGAAGAATCTCTGGGGCCTGATGGACGCCAGTCAAGCTCCATGTTCACAGAGAGACCCTGCTGCAAAGGGAGGGGTGACAGATTATAAAGGAAGACACCCCATCTCCTCTTGTGGCCTCTGAATATGTGTGTTTGCCACATCCATGCACACACAATCCACCCATCATCTCAAAATAGCACAGAGACTGTACACACACGATAAGATAGACAACTGAGGTAGAGTGCTCCACGGTACACCAGCACACAGTCGGCCATTATGAGATGACCGAGTAGCTCTCTTGTGAGTGACCACAGTGTGCTGTTTCCTCCAGGCCTGGGAGTAAGTCATCCTACTAGGAGCAGTTGGTGGCACAGACTTTCCAGGACCAATTCATGTATGAGGTGTGGTGGGCTCATGGCTATATGGGGAGTGAGGTTTGCTGTGGACAAACTGTGCCCTGTTCATTGAACCCCATAGACAGGGATTGTGACCCTAGAGAGAAGAAAGATCCTCAGAGCAAGGTTGAGTCTAAATATGAATGAAATTTCCTTTATAGATAAACAGAGAAACAACCACAAGCCTGACACTCAAATCTACTCGGAAACCTATGCCCGCCTCATCAGTGTGTGCACCACCCTGAAGAAGGAAGGTGAGTTCTCCAACTGCTTCATAGAGCTCCAGCAAAATTTCCTGAAGCACCGGAAACCCAAGCTGAAAAGACTCATCCTTCTGGTCAAGCACTGGTATCAACTGGTAAGGCATCTGACCCTGACACTGTGAACCCTATGTGTAGAGAATGTGGCTACAGTTCCGAGAAGAGGTCTATTCTAGCTTGCTGTCTATTGACATGATAGCCTTATCACATGACCAACAGTGCCCTGGGAAGGAAAGGTCTTACTTGGCTACACATCCCAGTGACAGCGCATCTCTGAGGGGAGTGAGCACAGTGACTGAAGCAGAGAGCAGGGAGGAATTCTGCTCACTGCCTTCATCTCCATGGCTCAGTCAGATTGCTTTATTATACATTGCAGACTCTCAGGCATGGCACCAACTACATCCATCACTGATCAGGATCATGTCCCCACAGACTGCCCTGAACCAGACTGACTGCAGCATTGTCTTGATTAACGGTGCCTCTTGCTTGATGACTATTGTGGGAACTCCCAACCCCAATAAACTCATATAAAACACACACTCCAGGTATCATAATTATAAGCCATATGCCTAGATTGGGCAGATCTATCATGATACTTATTCCCAGCTATAAGACCCTTGGCTACTTACATTTTCTCTGGGGCACGTGCTTCTGTGCTGATGTGGCTTCTCTTCCTCTTCCTCCATCCTATCTCTCTCCTGTACATTCTTCCTCTCCTTCTCCTGACCCCCACTCTCGAGCCTCCAGTCCCACTGCCCAATCACACACTCTTTTATTGACCAGTTAAAATAGGGAGAAAGTTCACCTGACATCACCAGAGTACGTGACAGTCTGCTCATCAGGGGCAGCCTCTCCTGAGGAAACAGTATTAACATCAGCATACAAACAGCATCAGGCCAACCGATGACAGATGACCCTAAATTATGTGTAGCTGACAAAAACTATCCTTCGCAACGAATCCCCTTTCAAGTTGATGCTCACACACACACACCCCTTGCTTTTTTGATTTTCCCTAAGATCTCATGCCAATATCACATCCTAAAAACACAACACAGCTTTAAATATCCAATTCTCTTTTTAAATTTCAGCTCTCAAAAAGGTTTGTCTCACAAGTGTCGGATCCATAAAATTGAAAATACAAGTTAAATACTTTCTTACCGGGGCACTGTCACAATCAGATTAAAACACAACCAAAGCCCAACAGAGCCAAAACCTCAGTATCTGATATCTGGGACTCACGGTTCTCTGAGCTTCTCGGGCTCTGCCATCCACAGCACACATAGCTGGTCTCAGGCTCACGTCAGCTCTGTTCTCACATTGCTCTGGTCCTGGCAGTCGTCCCCTGCTCAGGGCAAGTCCAGTGTCTCAGGGTCATCACTGCCGTTGAGGCTGCACTTTCACCAGTGGCTTCTCCTGACTTCTCCCAGTGCCAGGCCTCAACTGCTCTCCATGACCCCTTCAGACCTGCAGGTTTCATGGGACCAAAGCCTTACCACCTGGGAGACCACTCTGCAACTAACAGGGTGTGGCTGCTGTCTGAAGATGCAATCTTGAGGCCCCTGAATCTCAGCTATAGCATACTGACCAGAGGCTACTCTTTCCAGAAGACTTGGCCCCCATGCTGCAAGTCTCTTCTTAAACAGAGCTGATTTTCAGCCTCAGTTTACAAGAAATTACTAACTCTTAATGCAAAGATATCACAGAAGCAGCTCAGGTGGGGTAATTGCTTTTCTGAAATGTCACACACCAGCTTCCTTCCTCTGGATGTCTCTTAGTATTCCTATCTTCCAAGTGCTTCAAAAAATCCAAGGCACAAGGTCAGAAAGTAGAAAATGGAGGGGAGAAAGTGGGTAGGAGGGGAGCAGAGCAGAGGGGTTCAGAGATACAGGGTTTGGGGGAACAGCAAGGGAACACGATGCTGTAGGAGGGAGAGGGAATGGGGAGGGAGGACTTTCTGTGCTTCTTCTAAGTGATTTCCTCTGGTCCACTTTCTAATAGGCTACGTCTCTCTCTAGCTGTGTCTAATTCACTGCTTCACGGTGGCTGCTTTCTTTGCATCTTTCTCTGTCTGCTTCCTTCTTTGGCAAATCCTTCATGTCACATTCTATGGCTTCTATTTTTCTGTCCTTTCCAACTATTACCTCTTTAAATGGGAGATTTATCAGTATTTTTCTGGAATTTTTAAATATGTGTGTGATGCTTGTATATACCTGTTCGTGGGAGCACACGTCTTTGTGTGTGCCTGTGTGAGCATAAAGATGTGGAGGTCAGAGCGTGAGGGCGGGTCCTCAGTCACGCCCCACCTTGTGTAATCAGTCAGGGTCTCACACATGACACTCAGTGTGCTGGATCAGCAGGTCTGTAGAGTCCTGAGCCCCTGGAAGCCCCACCTCCAGCCCTTTGAGCTAGGATTGTGGATCAGCATCCTCAAGAGCCTGACACTCATGTAGATGCTGGGATCTCACTTCTAGTTCTCACCCCTGCACAGGGAGGGAGACACTTCACCCCTGAGCCATCTCCCTGGCCCCTTCCATGTTACTTCAGAGACCATGAGAAACTTCCATAGTGAGCATTCCTTATGTCCTGCCCCCACCCTCACTCCTAGCTGTCACTCATGGTGTCTTGATTCCTCCTGTGCCTGCTAGTGAATGCTGTCTTTGTGGAGCACACAGGCTCACCCTCAACCACTCAGTCCTTGGTTATAGCACAAGAGGAGCCTTAGACTGAGTCTAAATGACTGGGCGTGGCTGTGTGACAATAAACCTGTAATGACATCATCAGGTGGCAGCTGAATTGAGCCTGTGAGAAGTAGCCCCCATACAACAGCTGAGAGCCCTGTTTTTCTCATTGCCTTTCTCTTCTCAGTGTAAGGAAAAGCTGAGGGACCCGCTGCCCCCACAGTACGCCCTGGAGCTGCTCACAGTCTATGCCTGGGAGTGCGGGAGTAGAGACTGTGATTTCAACACAGCCCAGGGCTTCCGAACTGTCTTGGAACTGGTCACCAAGTACAAGTTGCTTCAAATCTACTGGACAGTGTATTATGACTTTCGGCACCAGGAGGTCTCCAACTACCTGCATGGACAGCTCAAAAAAGCCAGGTAGTCTATCTCCATGTGGCTCTGTTCCCTACAGCCCTGGGAGGCGGGGGGTGGGGGGCTCTCCTCTCTACAGACGAGGAGACCAAGGCTCTGACATTGTCCAGACCAAGCAGCAAAGACAGGGGAGGACATGGAGTGGGAACTGAGATCATCCAACAGTTACAGCATCATAAGCGCTGTGAGGCACCAAAGACCAGCGGTGGACCAATTACCTGTAAACAATAGAGTGCTGTCACCCTAGGGAGTGATATAGCTTGATCCTGTGTTGTGTTCCATTTTCAAACCCCATTCTTTGAGCCTGGCTGGTCCAACTCTCCTCATCTCACAGATCAGAGAGCCTGAGGGAGCTGCCCTAGGACACACAGCTACTAAAGGGTAGAGGATTTGAACCCAGGCTTTCCAGATCATGCCCAAGGATCCCTCCAGGCTTGCTATATGCTCTGGGGCAGGGACAAAGGAAAGACTTTGAAGAGGGATGCTCTGCTCTGCTCCTCCCCTGCCCCTGTGCAATTACTTGTAGCTGTGGCAATAGCCAGCTGATCAATTCTGTTCTCTGAATGTTGCTCTGCAGGCCTGTGATCCTGGACCCGGCTGACCCAACAAGAAATGTGGCCGCTAAAAACCTACTGGGCTGGTGGTCGCTGGCAAAAGAAGCTTCTAGCTGGCTGCAGTGCTCGTGCTTTAGGAACTGTGATATGTCCCTTGTGGGCTCCTGGGATGTGCCGGTGAGACCCTGTCATCACCCTGTCCCCTTGCATGCAGCCTCAGTCACTCCGTCTATTTGGAGAATATTCTCACTGAGTCATGGTCTTTTACTAAAGGTCTCCATAACCCCATGGAGGCCAGCTGCTTGCTTTGTTTTACAGCCATTTTCTCACCATTCAGAGCTATCATGGGCTGGCAACATGGCTCAGTGGGTAAAGGCCCTGCCCACACTGAAGACCTGGGTTTGATCCCTAGAACCCATATGGTAGAAGGAGGAAAAACAAATCCTCCAAGTTGTCTTGGGACCTTCATGTTTGTGCTGTCACACCCGTGGACCTGTACCGATGCACACACACACACACACACACACACACACGCATACATGCACACACACACACACACACACACACGTGCTTGAGCACAGAAATACACACACACAGGCATGCACACACATATGCACACATGCACACACATGCACATACACACATGCATACATGCACATGTGCACACACACACATACATATGCACACTGACACATATACAGAGTGTCACGAGCTCAGCAATAGTCATCTAGTGATTGGCAGAGCTTGGATCCTGTGGACTCTGAAGCCACTGTCAGGTCCATGAAGCAGCCTGTCTTCCCTATCTCATTGTCACGTGACCAATGAGACGCAGCAGGGCTGTGTCACAGCCACAGAGGCACAGAGGGACCTGCACTTGGACCTCTCCCCTCCTGGGGCAGGGTCTGCCTGATGCTAGGGAAGTGATGATGTCACATGTGACCTCAGGGTGGGGAATGAACACGGGTGCAGGGATGTGGGAAAGAAACCTCAGGAGGTCAGGAAGGAAGTGAGAGGGGACCTGGAGGGAGGCAGCTGTGGGAACAGTGGCCTGTAGTGCTGTCCTGCAGCAGAGAGGTGGAGAGGCCATGTCTCCCATTTGGCAGATCTGTTACTGAAGAAGGGGACTGTAGGTGGGGCTATATGTACCCTCAGTGGGCAGAGTCATGAAGGTGTCCTGATGGCCGTCTTTCCAACCTGGGAATGTGCTGGCCCTTTTTCTGAGAGCTCCAGGTGTCCAGTCATGGTACCCCACCTCCTCCACTTAAGGCTGGTTTACATCCCCTTCCCTGCAGGCTCCTGTCATCATTTTGTATATTCTATTACAGATGAGCGTCAAGTTTCCACAGGACTGTGTCCTTCTATGAGCACCAAAGCACATCTCCAGGATGCTTGCCAGTGAGGAGGAGGAGATCCCCGCTCTGCTGCAAGCCCTTGATCCAGAGAGGGGAGGAAGCTGCGCAAGGCCCCAGTGAGGGAGGGTCCAACCTGTGATCAGACTCCAGACTTCTAACCACTGCCTCCCTACCCCTGCATCCCACAGCCTGCTTTATCTGCCTTATCCACCAACAGGGTTCTCTGGGAGACATGTCCTCTGGGAGATGAGATTCAGAAGGGGAGGGAGGGACTCAAGCTTGACTTCCATCTGTCCACCTGTTGGGAGGTTCTGTACAATGTCTGATCAACAACAACAAATCACAGCAAGCCATGAGGGTATGTGTGCACTCTGTAGGATGGAGTGTGTGTTTGTTTGTGTGTGTGTGTGTGTGTGTGTGTGTGTGTGTGTGTGTGTGTGTATTTCATGCTCAACTAGACACATTGATTGAGGACTTGTTACAATCCCCACATGGGTTCAATTACTGGGCAACCAGCCACAGACAGTGTAGGACCAAACTGCTACAGCTACATTGTTTGATGTTGGGTGGCTTGAGATGCTTCCAGATCTCTCTCTCTCTCTCTCTCTCTCTCTCTCTCTCTCTCTCTCTCTCTCTCTCTCTCTTTGGTTTTTTGAGACGGGGTTTCTCTGTGTAGCTGGCTGTCCTGGAACTCACTCTGTAGACCAGGCTAGCCTCGAACTCAGAAATCTGCCTGCCTCTGCCTCCCAAGTGCTGGGATTAAAGGCGTGCACCACCACTGCGCTGTGCTTCCAGATCTCCTATACATAAAACTAAGATAAGAATCCTAAGCTCCAGCCGGGCGGTGGTGGCGCACACCTTTAATCCCAGCACTTGGGAGACAGAGGCAGGCGGATTTCTGAGTTCGAGAGTTCGAGGCTAGCCTGGTCTACAGAGTGAGTTCCAGGACATCCAGGGCTATACAGAGAAATCCTGTCTGGAAACAAACAAACAAACAAACAAACAAAAAGAATCCTAAGCTCCTTCTGTCCATGCTCCCTGACATGATTCTAGACCTTCCCCATTCCACACAGAAAGTGTTCACCAGCTGCCCATGGCCCTGAAGCCCTGGGAATCCGGCCAGGGTGCATCGAGGTGCACTGTTTCTGCAGCATGCAGGCTGGGGTTCACAGCAGTGCAGGGAAATAAAATTGCATGCAGGCTGTGACCAATGATGACTTTAAAACTTAGTGTCTGTGTGAGTGTGACATTTGAAGTACTGAATTAAATCACAAAGCATTGACTCGAACTCAAAACTAATGTAATCTCTCTCAGTCCCTCTTTTCCTTTCTTAATTTCTTTTTTTTTTATTCCTTTTTCTTCCTTTCAACTGGATCTTATTATATGCCTAGCTTGGAGTTCACAGACATCCACCTGCCTCAAGTCCCCAAGTCCTAGAGTTGCACACACACACACACCCTTTCATATGCAGACCTAACGTTCTATATGTCAGGATCCTGAACCAGCAGCTTGTGAATACATAAATTCAATAGCTTAACCACAAAAGATCCACATGTGCTCGTCCACTTGGGCTGCTGCTCACTAAGAAGACAGGAAACTGCTCAAGGCCACCAGCTACCCGCCCCTACTCCTGTCCCCAGTGTCCACTCTCAATCTCTGTGAAGGGGGAGGGATGGGTGTCCCTGTCCCCCATTCCTTCGGTTCTCAGGCAGCCCCATGGACCAAGAGCCCCAGTGTCCCCGACTGTGAGAAGATGCATGTTCCCTGGACCACAGGATAAATCTCGATCTGCCTTGGACTTTATCTGTCCCATCCATGGACCCAGTGATGCTGCTCAGTGATTCCAGTCTGTCTTGCCACTTTTGAAACAACCCTCAGATATACAGAGGGGATTTTAATAAAGTCCAGGGGCCTTCTGCCAACCTGTGAACTCATCATGCCTTCCCTCATGGATCCCACACCAAGACTCCCTAAGAAGGTCTTCTGTCTTCTTCTGCCCACCCAGCGCTAGGCACAGGCTTGCAACTGTACCGGATGCTATTCATCTCTGCCCTGTTCTCCCCTTCAGGTCTGGCATCCAGCAAAGTCTTGATGCCCTGAAGGGAGACAAGGACAGCAGACCAGACTTCGGATGATGGACAGACAGACAGACAGATACACACACTGACTTCTCCAGCCGGTACACTGGTGACACCTTAAGTGTACCTCAAGTAGAGATCAGGAAATATAGCATTTGTTCTATACCATGCCCTTCCACTTCAGTCTGGCAAGTCTGGGCATTCCCATGCCCCAATGGGAAATTCAGACTGTGGATTTCCTGTCCCAGATTTTGCCCTGCTACTATATTGGTGCGGTCCAACATTGCTGGTGAAGAGACAGAACCCAGGACCCAGAAAGACCTGACTCCTACGAGTTGTCCTCTGACTTCAAATGCTCACACACATGAAAGAAATGGAATAGAATATATAAAGCACAATTGGCTTCACCCTCGCCCAGATATGCTCAGGACCTCAGGCTAGCCTCTTGTCCTCCCATCCTGGCACTTGTGGGAGGGGCCTTCACATCCCAGTTCCCTCAGGCAAGGTCAGGGTCCACCAAGGAGCCTCTGTTCTCAGCCAGCCATGAAGACTTTCTTATTTGCTAATGGCTGTCCTCTGACCTGAATGACAAGGCCGTGACTTCTGCTTCTCCAAAAGAAATGGCTTAAATCCACCTATGACTTGTGGCCGTAACCATGAGCAGGAGCCAATTTTCAAATACTTTCCTCAGTCTTCTGTTCCTTGCTGTCTGAAGTGATTCCAACAGTGATTTAGGTATGTGTGCGTGAACCTGTATATGCATATGGTTGTGTGTTTGATTTTTGTATTTTATGAGAGAGAGAGCCCTCATCACATATCCCAGGCTCCCCTCAAACTCTTTACCTTCTGTGTCACTCTCACAGGACTTGGGATCACAGGTGTGGACCATCCTGCCATGATGAACATCCACTCCTGCTGGGCAGAGAGAGGTTGGTATGGAGACAGGCTCACCTTCATGAGGGTGTGTCCTGGGCACAAGTCAACACTTTATGCTGTTGAAGTGGACAGTGACAATTGATTGATAACTCAGGTGGTCACAGCTAGGGACAGAGGCACACCCCTGTGACCTCAGCACTTGGGAGGCCAATGGGGCAGATCCCTAAGTTCACATCCACCCAGTGCAAAGGAGTGAGATCCCATGTTAAAGACAGATGTGAAGCCTTTGTCCTGTATGGACAGACAGGAGGAAGTGGGGGTAGAGGGCAGAGAGACTGTCTCAGATGATACCTTGGATGGTGGTGACATCATGGGCGAGCATCTGAGAACCCACAGAACCGTTAGACCCTAAGTCTGAACTAGAAACTAGCTGTGACCTTGCAGATGGCTCATTACAATATCCAGCATGGACCAGTCACCTGGAACAAACCCAGCTCAGCTGTGCAGAAACTGGTGCCTGCCATCTTCTGGATTTCTCTTACTTGTTCTTCATGTTGGGGTGTGTGTGTGTGTGTGTGTGTGTGTGTGTGTGTGTGTGTGTGTGTGTCTGTGTGTCTGTCTGTGTCTGTGTGTGTGTCTGTGTCTGTGCATGTTCTGTTGTTAACCATCTAGCAGACTATCAAAGGATTTTTCTTCAGTAAAGTTCAAGAACAAAAAGAAAAACAACAGAATCTATGTTTAGGATGCTTCCTGCCTCCTGGTCCACAGCCTGCTGTGATGAGGGTTTGACAATCCAAAGAAATGCCTACAGGCAAAACCCCAGAGTGTCAGGGAACCCAGGAGCCAGAGGTAGCAGGTGCAGAGTTCTGATTTGCATAGCCCCGCCCTTCCAGGGAAAGAGGAACCAGCAATGGATATAAGGGGCAGCTGACTCCTGAGGCAAGGCTGCAGCCAGCAAACATTCCTGGCCTCAGGATGGCAATGGATCAAAGCAGCACTTCTGTGGATCTCAGCAGCACTCCGCCTTGGGAGCTGGACAAGTTTATACAGGATCACCTTCTTGGTGACCCCACCTTCATTACTGAGATCAGAGCAGACATCTATGTCATAAGTGCTTTTCTGAAGGAGAGATGTTTCCAAGGTGCCGCCCACCCCGTGAGGGTCTCCAGGGTAACGATGGTGAGTCCCATTAGCCTGAGCTGACCAGGATGGGGTGGGAGAGGACTCTCAGAAGCCAGACTGCAGTTCTTAGAGGAGAGTGAGTTACCTCCCTGCTCTGTGTCCAGTGTCCTCATGTACACCCCAGCTATGGCACAGGGCAGAGAGCAGAACAGAGACCCCACCTGCTGGATGACTGGACTGATAGAAGCTCATTGCCCTTGTTTCCATCTGTCAAATGGGACTTTATGATGACAGTCCCTACCTCAGTCACTGTGAAGGCTGCAGAAATGTTATTTTGTAAAGTCCACTCATCTATGTCAGGGGTGCGAGTGTGTTAGTGATTGTGCTCAGCATTTTATTTAGGGAGGATCTCTGCTTATCACTTGTTAGTTTCTCAAGTTTTCACTTTTTGTGAAATCAGTTTCCTTGACACTAAAAGGTCTCAGAGCAAATGTTAAAATTGTTGCAGACTTTCTTCCTGTATGGTGAACATGGTGCATTCCTTTAAGTGCTCTGTTAATTAGAGGGATTATGACAACAGTTTGATGCATCCATGGTAATTTACTCAGTCTCTTCAAACCCACTCCCTTGGCCTTGAATCTGATCTCTCCCAGAGAGTCGCCTTCCATCACGCATGTACACACACACGCACACACACACAACTTTAGATAGAAGTAGATTTTAAAAAAAAGAAAAGGATGTTCACCATTCTGAGTCTGGCCTATCTCCAGTATCACAAGGAGATCCAGGACCATCTATGTTCCTAAAGAAGATTCCAATTTCACTCTTCAGTACTGAATAGAATTCCACTGCACATGGGTCAGCTTTCTCCACCCACGGATCACTCTTGGTGATGGGCTCCTACTCTGTTCACATCTGGATTGCCCAGCATGGCTCTCCCTGTTCTTTGACATTCTCATCCTTGTCTTTTAGGGTGGCTCCTACAATGAATACACCGTGCTCAAGGGCAGGTCAGAGACCGACCTTGTGGTATCCTTTAACAATCTCAAAAGCTTTGATGATCAGTTCAAGCGAAGGGAAGAGTTCATTAAGGAAATTCAGAAACACCTGAGCCAGTTGCAAAAAGAAAAACAATTGGGAGAGAAGTTTGAGGTCCAGAGCTCACAGCATCTCAACTTCAGGTATCTGAGCTTCAAGCTGAGCTACCCTCAGTTCCAACAGGAGGTGAAATTTGATGTGCAGCCAGCCTATGATGTCCTGTGTAAGTCAGCCAGCACCAGAGCCTCAGCCTGCCCTTCCTCATGCCTCAATCCTCTCTTCTCTTACTATCTCTGTGTGTAGGGGAAGGGGGTGTTCACATGTTTGCAGATGTCTGTGCACATGGTTGCATATGTGGGTAGTAGCCAGAAGCCAGCCTTGGATGTTGGTTACTTAGGAGGCTATTTTATTAAGAGGTTGACCTGGAGTTTGCTGCCCCAACTTCGTGGCTCTTGCAGTAAGGAGCTGGGGTCAGGTGTGCTGTGTGCTCTGATGGAGCTGAGCCCACAATCTCTGGCACCTGGAGCCTCCATGTGTCTATTAGGTACAGCACAGGGCTGGGGGAGGGGTTATCTAGTCTCCTAGAAGTGTCTGGAGGCTATGAGTCACCAGCTGTAAACAATTTTACTCCTATTTAGGATACACTGGGCTTCTTCTAGCCCCTACAATCCAGGCAGGTTTCTTTTCTTATTTGTGTTGAGAAAGGTGGATCTGACAGCTTCATGTCAACCTATCTGGTCAGATGGTGAGCCTGAGGGACTCTCCTGTCTCTACCTTCCCAGCAGTGTGATGTCAGTGTGGACCCTCATGCCTCTGAAACACAGCTTTTAACAGGGGTGCTCAGAATCTCATTTGGGGTCCTCATACTTCTCTAAGCCCTTTACCCACAGAGCCATCTGCCCAGCCCCTGGAGAGATCCTACAGAATGCCTGCAAGATAGACAGCTCTCTCTACACAGCTGAGATTGGGAACTGTGTGTCTCTAAAAGTAGAAAAAGAGATATAGCTAAAAATTCATATCTGTTTCGTCTTCTATCAAAGAATGAGAAACCTCAGACCTGTACAGAGGTCTAGGTATCTGTGTAGGTTTAAGGGGGGGGGCAGGTGTGCAGTATGCATGAATTCCCAGAGGTGCTCTCTTCCCCTCTGGAAAACTGGAAACCCAGCACACAAAATCCCCACATGTACACACATGTGATTTAATGGATATTAATGATCCTCTAAACTAGTATCTCATACCACTCCTGACACACAGTGTGTCCCGAAAAATCGCCCAACTCTGCACATGAACAAGCAGGAACACTCATGGAAGACCATTATGGGCTTTGGGGAGGTTTTATATTTGGGGGATACAGCACCCCTGTTGGCCACTGTGTGAACTGCTGCTATTTACTTAGAGACAGGGCCACTAGCCCTTGACTTAGGAGAGTCATGGAAACAGGCCAGAGTCTCAGGCAGCAGGGACTGAGAGGGCCAGCCTGGGAGTAAGACCAGGGCAGCCTGCTGTGGGAAGCTACAAGAGGCTTAGAACCATGCTCAGTGGAGGGGGATTAGAGGGGGTGACCCAGAAATGAGCTGGGGGAGGACTCCCCCAGAAGCCTGATTTGCACATGGACTTACCCAGCCTGAGGCAGCTTTCCAGTGGGACAGGAACTCTATTGTAGAATGACTGCCTTGGGAATTCTTGTGTGGATGACATCCAAGAGGACCACAGCCCTAACCCAGGTGACTTAGCAAATGAGACCTTCTGTGTGCAGGGTCCTGAAATAGTAAATAATCCCTTGAGAATGTCCTGGGTCACTGAAGGATTAGACTTGTTTCAAGCTCCATCAGTGAGTGATTTTGCTAGGGGCCAGCATCAAAGCCTCATGGTGTGGCCTGCTGCAACCATGGCTACACACCTGCAGCCTCCTAGATGATTCAAGTGTGCACACAACCTACACATAGCCACATACACATCAATTCCATAGCCTGCCCCTGTCCACTGTAAAAGTTCACAGGGTACACAGACACCACCACCACCATCACCATATCCTGAAACTCTTAGGAAATGGACAATCAACAACACATGGCATTAAGTTAGGCACTATAGAGATTCATGAACTGCAGACACAAAGCACTGGGGAGACAGTGCAGTGGATAAGGACGATTGCTGCTCAAGCACGAGGGCATGAGTTCAAATCCCCAATGTCCACCTAAGCTTAGGAAGTGCCACACATTGACCTGTATCCCTGGTACTATGGGAACAGAGACAGGAGAATCTCTGGGGCCTGATGGACACCAGTCAAGCTCCAGGTTCACAGAGAGACCCTGCTGCAAAGCGAGGGGAATCAGACTATAATGGAAGATGCCCCATCTCTTCTTGTGCCCTCTGAATATGTGTTTGCCCCATCCATGCACACACAATCCACCCATCATCTCAAAATAGGGCAGAAATAAGCACAAGATAAGGTAGACAGCTAGTAGATTGCTCTATGGTACACCAGCACACTGTTGGCCATTATGAGATGACCATGTAGCTTTCTTGTGAGTGACCACAGTGTGCTGTTTCCTCCAGGCCTGGGAGTAAGGCATCCTACTGGGAACAATTGGTGGCACAGACTTTCTAGGACCAATTCATGTATGAGGTGTGGTGGGCTCATGTCTCTATGTGGAGTCACGCTTGCTATGGACAAAGTTTGTGGTGTTCCCTGAACCCTATAGACAGATTGTGGCCTTAGAGAGAAGGAAGATCCTCAGAGCATGGATGAGACTAAACATGAATGAAACTTATTTATAGCTCAAGTGAAAAAGAAAGAGGCCGTTGACTCTGAAATCTTCAACAAAATGTACGCCCGACTCATCCGTGAGTGCAACATCCTGAATAAGGCGGGCAAGTATTCCAACTGTTTCTTGGAGCTCCAGCAAAACTTCCTGTGGAAACGTCCAAACGAGCTGAAGAATCTCATGTGTCTGGTCAAGCACTGGTATCAACTGGTAAGGCATCTGACCCTGACA